AAGTTTTTGAAACATTTTTTCCTGGTCGATCCTGTTCCCTTTTCTGCCGTGGAGCGGCAGTCGAGCAAACGCACACTTCGTGTGAATTCAAAGTACCAGGCCGGGTCATTACACAAGAACCGAAAAACGCCATAAAGACGCATGGTAAACGTTACTTCAGTGTCAGCATAAAACACTAGTGCCGAGAGCCCCTTGCGGAAGACCAACTCGTATGAAAGACTCCAGTAATGCCGCAGCAGATTTTGAAGCCGATTGAGTATAGAAGGCCAAGGGGAGGCAACGCATAGTACCGTTGGAACAAAATCTGCAAATGTTTTTCCATGAGATCCTACTGTCAGTAAACACAAAGAGACAACTTAAGTCTGGAGGGACATGTACGCACGGATCAGAGCACAACCAACAGCAATTACGATACCATGTCAGGGGGCATCGGTACTATCACCGTCACCAGCACCAACAGCACTGTCACAGTGGCAGTACTTTTTTAAGTTTTAGGACCGCTTACACAGACTTTAGTGAAGCAGGCTGTTGTAAAAAATCAGTTAAGACACTCCTAACTGTGACCTTTCGTAGGGAGGAAGAGATCATATCAGTGCATTATATTCTTACCCGAGATTTTTCGGCGAGCTGCATCATATTGTTCAACTCTTCTGCCCAGCCGATGAGTGCACATAGTTTTTTGACAGTTGACGAAATGTCACCTACAAAGAGGTACACACAAGACACTAAGGTTTCAGGTACAGAGGCGAAAGATGTGATGCAAGTACATTTAGGGGTGGGGACATGGCATGTAGTCGAGCGTGGGTTAAATGGGCAAGACTCGCTACTACATTTGTTTAAGTAGACTTTTTTCGTTCAATTTCTTCCTCGGTAGCTTAGCAGTGACATTGTGATCTGGCCGGCATGTGCTGCATTGTATTTTGGGGCCAAGGGCCACGACCGTGCTTAGGGCAATCAATAACCGTAAAATGATACTGGCGCGACAGTGGCAGTCTAACCAAAATATATATATTCTAACCAAATGACAGCATTCAGTTCACATAAGTTGCCCTCACATGTGGTGGGGCTTCAAATTCCTCGCTAAAGGACAAAAAACGGGTAGGCCGCAGTTGTCAAGGGCGTAACACAGAATACGGTGGAGCAGTTAGGGGACAAGTGCGACGAGTATTAATGAACCCAGGACAATCGCGCTGCTCTTTGGTGCCTCTGCATATGACAGTAGATATTATTATCATCTTTTGCCCCAAAATCTTTATCTTCTATATGCACAGCCTATCTCAACCATGTCAGCAAACATGATACAGAAGAGAATAAAATGCGGGGAACAACGAATGCACCAAATTTACCCAGGATTAAGTAGTCTCGGCGTTTTTTCGAAAAGGCGAAGATGCCCACGGCTTCACGGTTGATCAGAACACGCGGGACTCCCTTCCTGGCAGCATAGATTACTCTAGAGAAGGGCTGTACTTCAAGTGAGGTGCCCATGACTAAAACCAGATCGGCCTCCCGCATGTCAACCGGGTAACGCCAGAAGGGCAGAGGGAGTTGTTCGTTGAAGAAAATGATGTCAGGTTTGACGAGGCCTTGACATTTGGGACAACGAGCCACCCTTCCTTGGTCTATGGCCAGCTGGAATAAAAATGCAATA